CTGATGCCAACTCCTACCTTAGTTGCTTGAATGTTGCCTTTTCTCTGTTGATTTTTGTGATGTTTTTTATATTAACCTATGTTTAAAAGATACAAAGAAAATCTACATTGGTGATGACAAACTATAACACATTTATTATTTTAACATCAGATATTTGCAATTGTTTTTTCTGCCATCATCTAAAATTAAACTCATTAATGATCCCTCCAACCCCCCAAAAACAGTGACTCGGCTGGACCTCCCATATTTCGCACATGTTTGGAACGACTTTCTTTTTNTTAAAGAAGCAAAACCAAGTAAGACAGAAATGAGGTTGCTTATTTCTCCTTTTTATATTACCCATTATACTTCACAAAATGGAAAAAAATGAAGCTAGTCACAAATTCAAAATCTCAGAGTTGAATAAAACAAGAGATGTTCATCAAGTCCAGTGGTGTCACTTCATGTCAAAATGAGAATCACATAACTAAATGCGGTGAATTTTTCATAAAAATAATTTATTCACTTTAAAGAACTAGCCTTTGAAATTTTATGGTGTTAAAACATCATTTTATAAAATAGTACTATATTTATAATATGTGTGTATGCATCCATGACACACACACACTATTCATTTCAATGTTCCCAGTTAGTTACGTACGCTGGCCATTCATATCTCTTTAAGTAATTTTGAAATTTGGTTGATGTGTCATATACACAAATTTTAAAAAAGGTAATCTGATCATACGTCCTCATATTTCCTTTTAAGATAAACTGGTTCCTAAGCCCCATCAGTTCTTTAAACGATGTCTGTCAAATACAAACTTTCCCTATTCTGTAAAACAATCACCCTTTTCCTAGGACTTGGCTAACTTACTTCTAAATGTACTCAGAAACTTCTCATCTTTTAAATCACTGAAAAAACACATCTTCCATGACGTTAGCTTTCATTACATACAGAATGAAGTTCAAACTCCTTAGGCCTAATAAAGGCACTGTATAACCTGAAACAAATTTCCTCTCCTTCCTTAGCTTCCTCGTATCCCCTAAGTCACATGTATGATCCAATATAATTATATAAATAATTATTTTATTCTTGTTCCTTAATATTTGCCCAATTTTGTTTAGATTTTCTTCAGATATGGCTGATGCCAACTCCTACCTTATTTGCTTGAATGATGCCTTTTCTCTGTTGATTTATGTTATGTTTTTCATGTTAACCTATGTTTAAAAGATACAAAGAAAATTTACATTGGTGATGACAAACTATAACATATTTATTATTATTATTATTATTTTTTCCTTTTTGTCTTTTTCCGTGTCTGGCAACGGATCGCAACCCTCAGTGTCGCC